TTTCAAAACCTTTTACTCTTTTAGAAAAATTGTTTGATCTATGAAAAATTTATCAAATCCTCAGTCTGAGTTCAGATACGCCTGAATGTGCATCCGAATCCCTCAAACCAATGCTCTGATACCAATTTGTAACGACGTGAATTTTCAAAAAAAAAAATCATTTTTAAAACATACATTTATTCATAAGATAATATCAAAACATAATGTATCCAATGTTATCATAATGAAACATAACCCAGAATCTCAAAACATAAACTCCATGAGTGTGTACGAATCATGTCGGCGCCTTCTCACGATCCTCACTAGTACCTGAAACACATAACACATGACACGGTAAGCATAAATGCTTAGTAAGTTCCCCAAAATACCACATACAACACATATTAGCCATTCGGTGTTATCACTCTATATGACCCTCAGGTCAATGTGTCTCAGTGGGACCCTCCAGTCCTATAACTCTGTGGACCCTCTGGTCCTAACTCTGTGGACCTTTTGGTCCTAACTTTGTGAACTCTAAATCATACATAGAACAAATGACATAGAAATCACATCATACAAAAGCAAACAAGATACTCTGTCACATAACTCTAATTACCACTCTAGGTAAAGTATAGTGAGAAAACTCACCTCCAGAAATCTCAAACAGTCTCGAACTCGGAAAACTGATCTCCGCCTAATCACATAAATAAATTACTCTAAATTAATAACGGCTATCAAAGGATAAATAAATCTCTTACTATAATTTCTAGAAGGGTAAAAGACCATTCTACCCCCTACTGGTCCAAAGGTCCACTGGTTGACTAAACCCTAAAAGTCAACTCAAGTCAACAATCCACACTGACCAGACTCGTCGAGTTCATGCGATTACTCGGCGAGTCCATATACGTACTCAGATTCCTTCCTAAGGTCTCACTTGACTCACTAAGTCACTCACCTAACTCGTCGGGTCATCAATGACCACGAATCGCGTGCAACCCGGTCCGACTCGTTGAGTCTACCAATGGACTCAGTAAGTTTCCCCCATGCTCATGCTCAATCGACCCTCTGAGGTCAGATCTGCTTTACCAACCTATAGATCTAGCCTCCTAGAACCCAAAAGTCATGTAAAGGTTCGAACTTTAGGTCCATGCATCACACTATCAACTCTATATGCCAAAATAACCCTTAATATGATAACCTAGGCCGCAAAACTCATAAAGGATTGCATAAAACTGAAGAATAGGGACTCCCTGGACCTCTCAAGGTCTAGATCTGATAATATTGTCACAAAGGGACATCACAAACAATAGATCTCTACCAAAAATGAAGAGAAGAAACCCTAGATTCATGAAAGCTATTACTCAAATGAAGATAGACATGAATCCATACCACCCACAACAACTCTGAAAGAAATAATGGTAGATTTGAGTCCCACAAGCCAGCCTAGCTTGAAATCCTTCCTTCCCTTTGCAAAAACACACCAAAGAATGATGAATTAGCCCTCCTATTGCTCTACAAGCTCTCTAGGGTTTCTCAGGGGTGTAGTGGCCGCAAATGAAGGCCATAAAGGCCTTTAAATAGGCTCCAAACCTGGGGAATTAGGGTTTGCTTCGCCAGCACTGACTCGTCGAGTCAGATACCCGACTCGCCGAGTCCGATCGTGAAACGCGTCCAAGGATCCCGACCCTACTCGACGAGTTGAGGCACCAACTCGTTGAGTCCCTCCAAAAATCCCAAAAATAAATATTTAAAATAGCATACCCGCAAACCCGGATGTTACAGTTCAATTATTGTTTTAAGAGGAACTCTTTCTTGATCAACAATATATAAACGAAAATTAACATTAATTTCTCACTGGCTCAAAGTAAAGCATCATAATTACTTGAATTCTCATCTAATTGTTCTTTCGTATGAGCCGAGACACTTTTGAAGGAATAGCTAATCAATATTCATTCCAATAGAAAGTTTCATAGCATGATCAATCGTCTTAAATAACATGTTTCTTTAAACCGATAAAAAAAATAATCAACATTCTCACTTTTTTAATAGCAACATCGAGATCGAAGCATATCATTTTCTTGTACGTTTTTTTTATGACTAAGGTCATCATTTATAATATTTGATATTGACACTAAAATCTCAAATTCACCAAGCTTTATATTTTGTTAGAGATTTAGCTTCACTTTATAGCATTATTGTTTTTTCTATCAAAATGTATGTGAAGCATAGGCTTTATGTGGTCAACCACATTGAAAATCCTTCGTTTATGATGCTATAGCCAATTATTTTTTTTAATCTTTTCAAAAAATTTTGTTGTTTGTAAATATATATGGTCTAATCAATTATAAGTCTTTCTGATCCTCTAAATCCTAAATTTATATATACTTATAACATACTTATATTATACTTAATATTATTCCACCATACATGTATCGTGAAGCATTGATATTCCACGACATTTGAGAAACACCAATACTTATTAGTAGGCGTGAGACTCATGTATTGCATGTGTTACTTAAAAGTATAAATATAAAAATGTAAACATTAAGTATTTTTTTAAAATTAAATTTTAAAATAAGAAAGGAAAAAAAATATTTATTGCAATTTAAGATCATATTTATCACAATTAATATTTTATATATATATATATATATATATATATATATATATATATATATATATATATATATATATATTGTGTGACTTTTTAATTTTAATATTTAAAAAAACCTAGAAATTAACATGTGGATATTATTTATTTCAAAAATACAATAAAATGACAAATATTAAAACTTACGAGAGATTGAGATATGGTAAAATGATCCTTTATTTATTAGAGTAGATAAACACATTGAACTATTCCTATAGCGACATATATATATATATATATATATATATATATATATATATATATATATATATATATATATATATATCAGGTTAATTTGAGAGCATTCTAATTTTGTGAGACTGTGAGACTAAATCTAAAAATAATTTTAAAATGCAAAATAAATGGAAAAATCCAAAAATTCTTTTTTTAAATATTATTTTCGGAACTTGAATTAACTAAAAAAAATAAAAAAATAAAAAAATAAATAAAAAAATTCCATTTTCTTTTTGAAAAATAATTGAAATATTCTAATAAAATATTACACTGATATATTCTAAAAAATAATTTTAAAATGCAGAATAAATGGAAGCATCTAAAAATTCTTTTTTAAATATTATTTTCGGAACTTAAATTAACTAAAAAGATTAAAAAAAAAATTCATTTTTTTTGAAAAATACGTGAAATATTCCAATATAATATTACACTGACATATTCTGAAAATTAATTTTAAAATGCAAAATAAATGGAAAAATCCAAAAAAAAAAAATTTTAAATATTATTTTCGGAACTTGAATTAACTAAAAAAAATAAAAAAAATAAAAAAATGCGTCTCACTATCTCACAAAGTTAGGTCGTCTCACATGAACCTATATATATATATATATATATATATATATATATATATATATATATATATATATATATACTAGCAGTGTACCCGCGCAAAGCGGCGGGACGTGAAAATTCTTTTGGTGATATGTTTTCTCTACAAAAATGTTATTTTACAAAAGAAAGTACATGTCGAAGACAAAATAATCAAACTATGATGTTATTTGGGAGATGAAGTCATTTTTTGTTCCTGGACGGTGGACTTTATAGCAGAGGATGGAACAAAGAGGTATATGCGATTGGAGGGATATTTGAATCAACATGCTAAATTTAAGGATATCTAAAAGGGTTCAAAATTTGAATGAATCCGGGATTTGAGGGAACCATATCAAATTGTTGAGAAATATAAGGAGATTTGATGATACATATTTGAATTCAAAATGTGGTTAAAATTTAATATTATTTTATTAATGGTTACTTGTACTATCAGCTTCATCATTTGGACGTTTTAAAAAAATAATATTATTATAATCAATCTATTTTTAGAAATAGTTAGATTTCTTTTATAAGATAGTAAAGATATATTGAAAGAATCGGAACACCAAGCTTTCTCACGACTTCTTATCCCTATCCTTTTAAACAAGGAATTTTAATTTTTTATTGTCAATTTCGAAAAACCCCAAACACTCAAATGAACATTTTTTGTTGATGCTTCTTTTCATATTTATGAGAAGTCTTTTCAGTAGTTTTGGAGCAACATTAAGAATAAAGAAATATTTTAATCTTACATTTTCAAGTTTCAATAATAAAAATAAGAACGATAAAAGTATGGAATTGTTTCAATATGAATTAACTATTTACTTATTTATATATTTTAACTTATTAAAATTGATTAAATTTATAATTTGAATAAATATGATATTCTGAAAATTTATAAAATGTATAAATAATATTTTAAACTTAGATTTATAATAAGAGTATAATAACAAAAATCCAAACAACATTTATTTTATATATATTTTTTTTCAAATGCAATTTTTATAGTTTTCAAAAGAACTGATTTTACAATATAATAGCCAATTGATAAAAATAATAATTTAAAATTATTATAAATGTTAAAAATAAAGAATTGAACAAATATAATATCTTAAAAGTTAATGAATGATAAATATAATGTTTATAAATTAGACGGGACATATATACTATTGTAATATTTAAAGAAGACAAATTTTGAATGTTTACGTTGAAATTATAAAACAAGTTCTAATGAACAAATTTAATGATGGAATTTAAAGTTTTATTTTTCTTAAAACTTATTTAACAGAATAATATTAGGATAAAAATAACGAAACAAAAATCAACGACACTCATGGTTGAATTGAAGCGAGACATTCATTAATCATCATGATTCGTGAGTTTAGTTTTTAATTCACAGATTTAGATTTACCCTTTATTAAATCATACTCGATTTCCCACTACCATTTCCACAATATTCCACACGAGGGTATTTGTGTACATTCACATCCTTAACTAACATTAACAAGGTGCTCTTCGTAAAAAACTATTACTCAGGGGTGATAAACTAATTTCATATTTATTTAACTAACCCCACTTGAACCCTAAAATTCCGCTATATATACCCACGAGAACCGCACAAACTACTTACCGCAATATAACAACAATATGAGAAACTTATTGGTGTCAGTCGCCGACTCCGACGGTGGAAAGCAATCGGTTAGCCGGAAAATACCATTTTCCGACGTAGTAATCACAGGCACCAGAAACAACTTTTGGGGTCGAAAGTGGCGGACGATTGACATCCAGGTGGCGTTATGGGTTACTTTTGTTCATGTTCTTGCACTCTTTGCACCTTTTACGTTCACCTGGGATGCGTTTTCCGTCGCATTCATTGGTTACTTGTTAACCGGACTTGTGGGCATAACTCTCTCTTATCACCGGCTTCTAGCCCACCATAGTCTCAGACTTCCAAAATGGCTCGAGTACACATGTGTTTATTTCGGGGTCCTAGCCGCTCAGGTTAGTCATTGGTTCAATCATTTATATATTATATAATAATAATCTTTAATTTTATTCGAGTATATATATATTCATGCAGAGAGATCCGATATTTTGGGTGAGCATGCATAGATATCATCACCAGTTTGTCGATTCGAATAAAGATACACATTCACCCATTAATGGGTTCTGGTTTAGTCATATGGGCTGGCTTTTTGACAGCGGATACATTCTTGAAAAGGTATTCCATGATCAATATTCCCATTTGATCCCTTTATTGATCCTTTAATTATTTAATCTTTACTTTATGATTAAGCATTTGTATATATATATTGTTGTTACCGTTTTGTAATCGAATCTCACGTGCTATGAGATTTAAAAAGTCGTATAATTATATTATAATGTTTTTTTGTTTGTTTAATGCAGTATAAGGAACGGAAAAATGTAGAAGATTTAAAAAAACAGCCGTTCTATATGTTTATACGAAAAACGTACATGTGGCATATAATAGGATGCGGGGCTGTCTTGTATGCTTGGGGTGGCTTTCCGTACTTCGTTTGGGGCTTGGTATAATAATCTTATTCATATTCGAGTTTTAGATTCTGCATACGTCATTGATTTATGATATATCTCATTTGAATAAGTCTTTTTTGTAACTTATCTTTTATATATAATTTTAATAACCGATACAAAAGGACAGGTTTAGTTGAAAGAGACCACATGCACATATTCAACAAGTGGGTTGAAACTGTGCAATGGGACAAGTTAAAGGCATTACAATATGTTAACACTTCTTTTTCATACATTTTTTATTTTTATATATGATACATTTTGGTTTTTAGTATATACGTGACCCTTTTGGAGGTCGGTATAATAAAAAATTGATTTCTTTATAGGGGAATGGATCAAAATTGGTAACTTTGTATGATTTTGCCAAAACTAGCCTATACGAGAACAATGGTGACGCGACTGCAAAGTTTGACTACGATACTTAATGTATCAAAGTTTTTTTTTTTTTTTTTTCTTTTTAACTTATAAAGACACTACGATAAATTTTTTTATTGTTTATTTTAGGCTACATAACGATCAAGGATATACATGATATTCACCTGCATGTAGACCCCTTCGCGACAATGATTATGTTTTGTATACATTTTAAAATATTTGAATAAGTAGATATATGCTTTTGCATTTGTATTTATATGGATTAATTATATGTTGCTTTTGCATTTGTAGTTGTATGAGAAAGTATCTCAAATTTGATTGATGATTTTTGGTAGACAGTTTGGTTTTAAACAGAAATTGACAAAAATATAACTATAGGAAAATCATATGTATCAATTGTGTTTAATATGACATAAAATTCATTTAATTTTTAATATTTATGCATGATGTATACAGGGTGTTAGAACCATATGGGTTTATCATCTCACATTTCTGGTGAATTCTGCTTGTCACATTTGGGGAAACCAAGTTTGGAACACCGGTGATCTCTCCAGAAACAACTGGTATGTATCTCAAATGTCTTAATGTAATAAGTATAATAAACATTAGCGTAATCGATTGTCCAAATATCATGAAGGTGGGTGGCAGTGCTTACTTTTGGAGAAGGATGGCATAATAATCATCATGCATTTGAGAATTCAGCTCGACATGGATTAGAATGGTGGCAACTAGATGTTTCTTGGTATATCATACGATTTCTTGAAATCATAGGATTGGCAACCAATGTCAAAGTGCCTACTGAAGCCCAAAAGCTCAAAAAATCAATTTTCACTTCTGATAATACATTCAAATGATTAATCATGTTGCTCGCCACACGAATTATACCGTAAACAACATAAACATTAGGATATGATCAGATTATACGTATTAATACATGTATAATATGTTTTTTTGTTTGATCACGGCGTATTTCGTTGACACGAAAGGCCTTAGTTTATGTTTTGCTAATATTTGTTTCAAATAAATATGTAATTTGTAATTTCGAGATATCTTGTATCTTATAAGTCAGACAATAAGCTCATTTTGTTTGTATTGCTTATTTTATCAAGCTCATTTTGTTTGTATTGCTTATTTTATCTAAAGTAAATTACTGAAATCGTCCCTATGCTTTGGTTAAAATTTCATGTTTGGTCCCTAAATTTTCTTTTGCACTCGGATAGTCCATATGGTTTGATTTTGTTGCGTTTTTTGTCATTTACATACATAAAATTAGGGACCAAACTCACAATTTTGACTAAACCATAGGGAGGAAAATCGCAACGAAATCAAACCATAGAGAGGATCTGAGTGCAAAAAAAGGTTAAGGACCAAATGTGAAATTTTGACCAAACCATAGAGACGCTAACTCTTTTATCTAGTATTTCTTGTTCGATCAATAAAGATTCCAGTTATTAATGCTTTATTATCTGATTGTGTCTTAGAAATGTCAAAATGTTTTATATTTATGATGTGAACACTTTATTTTTTGTCGAACTTATCAGAATTGTCCATTGAAAAATCGAAATGATTATTTTATGCTACATTTTTCGTTTATCTAAATCTAATTATGTTGGTCATAAGGTTCTGCACAATGCTTTCATTTAAAGTAAACTAGTTATAAGACAATTGCAAAAACGATCCTTGTGGTATGCATATTTTTTGGGTTTTAGTCCAAACCCCGACTTTTTTGGTTTCGTAGTTATTTTAAGCTAGTTTCATTGCGGATTTGGTCAATCGATAAACTGAAATGACTTTAATACACTTGGGGTATTTATTTTACATTTTTCTTTCATTTTTCTAAAATTTAATAGTTATTTATTTATTTTAATAATAAAAAAGAGGGGCCCACCTCTGTGTGTGTGTGTGTGTGTGTGCAAATACAAACGAAAGAACACATATTCATATTCATGAACATAGACTCAAGAACACATACACACTTCAACTACCGTCCGCCACTACCACCGTGTCCTTCACCTCCTTTCCCTGTAAATTGATTTTTCTGGTAACCTCCACCATCTCCTTCTTCTCCACACACACAAAATCAAATCTGATGAATGCTTTTAGGATGAACACCTTCAAGAAGAGAAAATCAGATCGAGTGCATGGGTCTCCGATCTCCTCCTCAGATTACGAGCTCCTCCTGTTAAAGCAAGCCCTAACGTCGCCGCCTGCTAGGTCTTCTCTTTTAGCAGAGGCGAGCTCAAGGAGATGATGACTTTCAGATCTAAGGACCTCGTTTTCAGACCCGAGTATCTCGTTTGCAGATCTGGTAGCGGTGACGAGCTTAAGGTTTTCTTCTTCTCCAGTGGTGGTGTATGAAGATGGTGGCGATATGGATGGATATACTTAAACATCAATCAACCATGGTGGCGATCGATTCTCAATCAAACTACCATTTCCACTTCTCTCCTAGATCTATCTATAAGAAAATGTAGATAGAATGGTGCACTAATTCAATTTTCTTAATTTCCTAGAATTGAGAGAGAAAGGGGGTAGGGGAGACCGAGATCAAGATCAAAGGTTCAGTAAGCTTGATAATTAGAATCTTTGCCTGATTGTCTTCACATCAAACTCACTCACACTGTTACATACACATACTTGAGTTGCAGGTTTTTGGTGTACCCTATGAGTTTGAGATATTTGGTTTTAATTTTTGATGCATACTCGATTTGCCTACTGGGTTCATCCTAATGACATGATTTTGAAGTGTGTGAGTTAATCTATGTTGTATGAATTGAGTGTTTGAGAGGTGAGAAATCAAATTTATGATGCTAGGAACGATTATTTTCAAAAATGAAATCAGATGCTTGTTGTTGATGGACATGATTCTAGATATCTTTTTGGTTTTAGTTTGATTCTTTCTTGAAGACCGAAAAGATTAGAAGGAGTGAATATTTCTTAGTTTATTTTTAATTTCTTGTTTTGTGAAAAGGACAAGAGAGAGAGAGAGAGAGAGAGAGAGAAAGAGAGAGCCCTTTTATTTTTTAATTATTAAAATGAATAAATAATTATTAAAACTTAAAAAAAAATGAATTTAGAAATCGAAAATAAATTCCCAAGGGTATTAAAGTCATTTTAGTTTACCAAGGGACCAAATCTGCAACCAAACTAGCTCAAAAGGACCACGGAGCCAAAAAAGTCAGAGTTTGGACTAAAACCCCAAAGCCATTTGAAATGATTATTTTATGCTACATTTTTCGTTTATCTAAATCTAATTATGTTGGTCATAAGGTTCTGCACAATGCTTTCATCTAAAGTAAACTAGTTATAATTATAACTTGATGAGGAGTCCCGCTTTGCGAGGATGGATTTAGATAGCTCCGATCATTTTCGTCACTTCGTGCTTGTTATCGATAGAAAGGATTACATAGTAATTTGATTTTTCTTATGTATATATTCTTGCATGGACAATTTATTTGTTGATAGCAACAGTAAAATATGTTGATATTCTCTCTACAATTCGCCTATTTACAAACGTATAATAGCAAAATATGTTGCAGTACGGTATAAAATAATGAATGTACATTGTTATTTCTTAATTTCATTAACTGTCCATGCCCTTGATTTTTGTAAATCAACATAAACAACACAACATCAATTTAAAGAAAGAAGTAAAGAAGTATAGAGTTGTGTAAGTTTTTTTTTTTTTTTTTTTTTTTTTTTTTTTTTTTTCAAAAAAATCAATTTACTTATATTGATTCACTAAATCTTTACAAAAAACAAAGCTCGGAAATTATTATGAGCTTATCGATCAAATACAGAAAAATGATAATTAGATAGCTAAATATGACATTCCTTATAAATTAGAAATGAAAACTGAGAAATAAAATTAGGGAAATATGATATTTGTTACTATCATAATGTCACAACTAGGAATTTTGATGCTTGTAACAACAACAATGACAACCTTTGTGAACCAAAAATGTGAAAGCATGTATGATGTTTATTCAATAACAACAAATTATCCATCAAACACTCTATACAAGCACTTCAAATAGTCAACAAAAAATTGGAAACCCTAGAAATCCCGGTTTAAGTCCATTATGGACTAGGATTTCCTTATTGGGCCTAATGGGCCAATAAGCTTCCAATTTGACTATTTTGGGCTTAGAACTCTTAAATGGGCTCTAATTAGATCAACTTCCATTTATTTTAACATTTTAGGCCACATTGGGTCTAGAATGAAATAAAATACCCTAATGGACCATATTGGGCCATAACTAACCTAATTAAATTTAATGTGCTATGAAACTCATTATTTTTGCCAAATTGGGCCGTAATTCATCATAGGAGCCAAATAGGCCAAAAATCATCAAAAATGGGCCCATACGATGGAATTAAGCACCAAAGGCCCAAAACTCTCTTCTTTCTTCCCTTTTCTCGGTCCAAAAAGAAAACAAAAAAAATAATAATAAGAGAAGGGTTGACTTTAGGAGGTGCCACCTCCTTATTACACACCATGCACACATGCATGGACCAACATGTATCTAGACTAGTCATCTTACACTCTCTCTTTTCCTTCAGCAGAAGACACCAAGCACACACACACACACACCTTACAAATTCTCTCTAAACTACTCTCAAGATCATCCTCTTCTTCTTTGAAGATCTCGAAAATTTGGCTAGAAATCACAGGATTTTCATCAAGTAATTCACATCCTTCGTAAGTTATTGCTTTGATTCATAACATATCTTCTTCATTTCATCAACAATCCCCCTTATCTCATATAAAATTTGTGATCTTGCCTCTTAGAGCACATCTAACTCAAAAATCCTCCAAGAAGCTTGCTAGGCTGAGAATAACATCAAACTTCCTCTATTCTTCATCAAAACCGAAACCACAAACTCAAGGTGGGTTCATACCCCTCTTTTTTCGGTTTTTACTAGTTTTATGGGGGAGATATACAACTAAAAATGTGTAGATCTATGTGTATGTGTGTGCTATGTATGATTTTATGCATGTATGTGTGATTGTATGTGTTTATGTTGTAAATATGCAACAAAAAGAGTAGAAATATTGAGATCTATGGCATAAGAAGTAAAACAAACTTGATCTAAGTTATACCACACTAAACAAGTCAAGAAAAATACGCTCTAAGATTTAAAATAGACACATTGTAACATAAAACAAATTTTTGGGGCTTAAATTGTCAAATAAACAAAAGTTGGTGGAAAGGTTGCTATTCACGGTTTTATTGAGGGGAAAAAGAGTCCAAATAGTTAAAATAAATCTTTTTGTGACAATTATGCTCTTCAAAGGACTTGAAATGTAAATAATAGCTCAATGGGCCAATTTTTGGGCTTTTCGACCCATTAAGCCCAAGGTTGCGAAAAATCTGATTTTCAAAGGGCTAAAAAGAAAAATTCCTCAAAACAGGGGATAGAAAGGGGTAAACAAAATCATTTTAGGGGTTATAATGTTTTTCTTTACCAAAAAGGATAAAAAATGTAAAGTTTTTGGATTTTGGGCCAAAATTGTAAAAGTTGCAAAAAGTTTAGACTTTAGCCATAAATAACTTTTCTGGAAGGGATGAAACTGATAAAAGTAAAATTTGAGCTAAAACCACCACATAAACAAAGTCTATCGGTCAAAAATGATAAGAAAATGGTTTTAGGGCCTAAAATGTATTTATATATATATATATATATATATATATATATATATATATATATATATATATATATATATATATATATATATATATATATATATATATATATAAAGGGCTAAAATTGTCATTTTTATCCAAGATGGGCTGGAATGGTCAAACCAATATTTTGAGTCAATTATTTTATTAATTAAGATATTTGGGTCAAAAATACCAAACCAGAACTTATGACAAATGGCAAGATAAATATACATAAATTCCGAATATCAGACTCGTATCGATAAAAATTTAACAATTGTTCAATTTAACATTCTGACAACTATACTATACCCACAACAAGTAAACATTAAATCCTTTGGGCTTGAAAGTTCCATACATATTTATTGGGCCTTTGTGACCCATTAACATGATTTTGGGCCCAAGGGGTAATTATGAATGTTATTGGGCCTTCTATGTGATGGGTTTTAGCCATAAGAACTTTCCTATGTGTGCATGCAAAACCCTAAAGGCTTTCTAATTAAACATGCTTTGAATCCAAGACTTCTAATGGCTAATTAGGTTAAATAACAACATTGAAATAGATCTAGAATCATACCTTTGGATTCCTTGTTGATCTTGTTGTCTTGGAGCTTCTAGAGTCACAAATGTCACTCCTCTAATGGCTTACAAACACCAATAGCAAGCAAGATGATTTAGGAGAGAGGAGAGGGGAGGAATTCGGCTAGAGTGTATCTACTTTTTATGGTGTGTCGAATTCCCTCACCCCTAGGGTCTATTTATACTTGTAGACTCCTTAGGGGTTACAACCTAAACCCTAATTGGATAATCTTCTCTTAAGGCTATCCAAATCCATTCCATAGATAAACCTTTGGATGATTTTAGCTATCCTATATCTCATAGAATTCGTCCAAAGCATATCCCAATGGATTTATAGTCTAAAGTTTAACTATCAAACAATTGACAGTTTATACCCCTTTATTTAATTAATCTCTTTAAGTCACCAAATTAATTCCAATTAATTTATGACTTATATTAATCAAATAACCATATATTATTCCTTATAATATTTACTCTCTCTTAACAAATCATCCATCAAGTTGCTATGGTGAAGGCAACCCAAAAGGACCATGCACAACCGGATCAAATACTTGCCTAATATAGTTGCAGCCTTAGACACTATTCCAACAGTCTCCCACTTGGATAAGTCTAGTAACTATACAAGTACAATTCGGTTTGCAATCGTAGCTCTCAAAGACGCTGTCAACTCTGATCTAATCAATCTTGTCCTTTAGATAAGGGATCGTACAGTCCTCTGTTAGATATCATGCTGACAATCCTATGGAATGGTTAGTCAAGCATTTGATTTCTCGATCTCCGATTTATTTGACATAGAACTTAATCAAACACATCAATTCAGTTCTGACCGGGCCCGGCACATAAGTCAAATCAAATCATCGAGTGGCCAAGATATCTCTTCTACCCTCTTAGGATAAAATTTACAGATAAACTTCGACTTATATGCATTTACTTATTCATTAACCAACTATACACAACAATGCGTTTTATAACACCAAGTTACTGATGCGTTTTCGCATTATCAATG